ACACGGGTCCCCGCAGAGCCCGGGGCTGTGTCACCGCGCGCCGCAATAGGGAGCGACGTGACCTTCCGGAGCGAAGCGGGCTGGGGAGGGCGGGGGGCAGAATAAAACCTCTCCTTAGGTTAAACCCAGCCCAACCCTGCTCGCTTCACCGCAGGGCCCACTGCTCCCCGTGCGTCACCTCCCCGGCTTTCTGCATTCCCTTTTGTTCTGGCGATAAATTCGGAATGCCCAAACCTCTTGTACAACCGTCCTCAGGAATTTGGGTCTCTCTCTCTCCAGTCTACCCCAAGAAAATTTTAAATTAAAAAAATAACACGAGAAAAAAAGAAAGTAAGTACTCTGTGCCGTTCCTAAATGACATTAAAAGGTGAAGTCAAAACTACGCCATATAACCCCCCCGAGACTATGTACATAAGACGTAAGATCTCTTGAAACATAAATATACAGTGTACAAATCCAGGTGCCACCTAAAAGGCTGAAGACGCAGAACTATTTCACAGACAAAAAGCAAACCAAACTCACCGCGCCAAGCGTAGACACACGGCCACGACGCCTGGGGGTGCATTCGCAGGGGAGGGACCGACCCGTCTTGCGGCGGTTCCTCGCACGCGCACGTGCGGCGGGGGGGGGTGCTAGTGGTTTCGGGGGTGTAACACAACCGTCCACACATGCCACGTTTCTACACTCGGTTTAGGTGAGGGGTCGGGAAATGGGATTAGACCCTGAGTCCCCAATTATTTCCAGGCACGTGCTCTGCCGGAGCAGTTGGAGGGGCACCTCCAACTTGGATCCAGCAGGTTCTTTAATATCGCTCACAACAGAGATACTTGGTATCTCGCGGTGCAGACTCGGGACACGCCGGAATTCTGCACCCTGCGCTTTAAGAGTTACCATGACTTTCATGGAAATAATACAGCCTTGATCAGGGTAAAAGACTAATGGAGGTCTTTAGCCCAATCTTAAAGAGCTTTGCTTTCTACAGCACGGACACGCTACGGCTCCGACATACATAAATAGGTACCGGTTACTGTAAAGTGACAATGCAGCGCCTTAATTATTCCAGCATTATCCTTTCTGCTGTTGGGGAAGACGTGGGAGCGGTTAGGAGAGGTGGGGAGGAGAGCTGGTGTCTGAGCGGCCGCAGGTGGAAGTGCGGGCAGACAGCCAAAAGACACTTCTAGCTTTACTTGGCAGGCGCTTTTATGGCATGCAACAAAACTCCTAAGACAACCCTCTATACAAAGCACACAGCATCTCCAGTCCCACTGGTGGTATCTCAAGAGAACAAGTAAAGCTAAGAGTCTGCTTGCAAGGGGAGGCCACGTGTGTGTGTGTGTGTGTGTGTGTGTGTGTGTGTGTGTACACGGAGGGAGGGAGGGACCGGGTGGGGAAACGTCCTGTTTTGCTGAAACCAAGCTCTTCGGCAAACCTCCTTCCTTCTATCGCTGGCCGGCCTCCCGGATCCGGCAGGCCACCGCCGTGATGAGCGCTGCGCCCTTGCCGCTGCCGTCTTCCGACTGGAGGAAGGTCACTTCGCACTTCGGAGACAACTGCTTCACTGTTTCGTGCATGACGGTGGAGAAGCTGTAGGGCACGGGAAGGAAGAGACGTTGTTGAACTTGCCTTGGGCTGAAGGTGCCAGCCCCACAAGGAACGAGCCACTTTGCCCTCAGCAGCGTCTCACACGGTGCTACGGACACAGGAGGAAGATGGGTGGAGAGAGCTGCCGGGCACGAGGCACCGGGGAGCTAAGTCGCCACGCTTCAGCCCGAGTCCGCGACGTAATCGTGCTCTCCCTTCACTCAGGACTAAATCTGGGCCCTTCTCTAATCCCACCAAGCCCTGAGAGCACTACTAAACCTTAATAGTCCTGACCAGCCTCGCCTGGGGAGATCTTCAGAGCCCTCCCCACACCCTGAGCCCTAGCTAAGCTCAGCTCTGTGTCTTTAGTCCCCGTCTGAGCAACGTTGTCTTAGGAGTACCAGCCTTCAGCTCAGCTGTAGTGGTATCTCCGCGTGGCTCAGGCCCTCCCCAATCCCGATCAGGAACTGATGTCTTGGCTTAGACCTGCCTCATCCCCATGACTTTGCATGATGAGCTGGACTGCTGGTTGAACCTGGTCACCATCTCTGGCTCAGCCTGGCCTCAGGTTCACAGAATCACAGAATCTTTAAGGTTGGAAAAGACCTTAGAGATCATGAAGTCCAACCATCAACCCAACACCCCCATGCCCACTAAACCATGTCCTGAGTGCCACGGCCACACGTTTTTTGAACACCTCCAGGGATGGTGACTCCACCACCTCCCTGGGCAGCCTGTGCCAATGCTTGACCACTCTCTCAGTGAAGACTTTTTTCCTAATATCTAGTCTAAAGTTCTGTGGGTCTGGGCTGTGGCTGGCACGAGGTGCCTGTCTTGGTGCCCCATCCTTTAGAGAACAGCTGGTTCTTGCTGTGCCTTGACAGAGTTTTGATCAGTGAGCTACTGGCAGCCTTTGAGACCCTAAAATACCTCCCCCCCTCTCCAGCTACCCTGCTAAGCTTTCCACACTGGCTCTTAGCACCCCATCTGCCGGAGATGGGCAGAGGCACCAGCGTGAGCCTCCTCGGAGGAGAGCCGCCCGTCCACCGCCCACCACTGAGCAACTCACTGAGGGTGCAGCTTGTAGAGCGTGCCATCCACGCCAACCGTGACCTTGAGGAAGTCCAGCCCACGGTTCTCCCTTATCTTGTCCACCACAGCTGCCATGCCGGCCCCGCAGAGCTGAGCTGCCCGCCGGGCCACCACCGTGCACACCTCCTTCACGATGATGCTGTCGTCACACGTGGTCTCCAGGCCAAGATGCTGGAGGATGGAGCGGACCTGGAGCAGGGCCAGGCAGTCGCTGGGGAGGACAGGAGAGCCGGGCAGCGTTAGGAGATGGAGCAATTTGGATGTGTGGCTTCCCCTTTCTTACCTACACCCTGCAGAGCCCAGGGACTCGCGCCTCGGGTGACTCCGACTGGAGGGGCTCTGCTGCTCCCCTCTAACCTCAGCTTTCAGACCTGGATGTGGCTCTGATGTCACATCCTGGCCAGTGAGGCTGTGTCAGGACAAAGCTGTCGACTCGGGGCGTGACGGCTATTTAACCCGTGGCCCCTCTCTGTCCAAGGGCAAGAGGCGTCGGCGTTACCAGCCCCGGACAGTTTCCTTGTCTCTCAACGCCAGCGCTGTCAGAACCATGTGGACTTTGCCAACTTACCTGCGTTGCACCACCCTATGCCACCCCGGCCCCAGGCGGAGCGCTTGGGACTTCTCCCACAAGCAGCCCTGGGAACGTCCCCCCCCAAACTGCATCTTGCTCTGATCTGCAGCCGTACGGCCAGAGCTGGTGCTCGCCCCGCCTGGTGGACCTCACCTTTCTATCTGGGACAGGAACTTGGTCTCAAAGATCCCTCTGGTCTTCAGCCTCTCTGAGATCCGTCCCCGGAAGAGCAGCCCTCGCTTGGTGAAATCCATCAGGATGTTTCGGACGATCTCCCCCAGGTACATCCCGCTGATCATCTTCTCAAACCTGGGAAGGAGAGGGCAAGGCTGGACATCAGGACAAGAAGAGACGCTGGGTCTGGATTGGGATGCCAGCTCTGCCAGCTGCCTGTGACACAACCCCCCGGCCTGACGCCCCGGAGCGAGTCCAGCAGCAGGGACCCCAGGGCAGGGGACGAGGGACACAGCGGCGCGTGGCCAATCGCAGAATCACAGGCCGGAGGGTCCCTCTGAAGACCGTCTGGTCCAACCCCGCTGCCAAGGCAGGACCTAGGGCAGGCTGCACGGGCTCCTCACGCCCTCATGCTCCCCCAAGAGGCTGGTGGGGCAGCGCTGAACGGTTTCTGGACACCCGGCCCCCTCAGGGGTCCCTTCCCAGCCCCCCGAAGCCACCACGCACCGTTGCTTCCCGGGGTTGAGAGACAGCTCATCCACCGCCAAGTCGAACTCCGTCCGTATGTCATCCAAGCAGCCGCTGTCACCGAAGGCCCCCCACTCCATGTTGACGCACATCCTGCCCTCCTCCCCTTCCACCAGCTCCACGTTCCTCATCTCCTCCATGTAGCAGGCGTTGCTGCCCGTGCCTGCAGAGAGAGCAGCGTCTTTCAGCGGGGCTGTCGGAGAAGCGGGGCGCGTACGCAAGACAAAAGCCCTCGGACACCGTTTGGGGCCAGGAGCACCCCCCGGGGGCAGGGTCGGGACCGCGGGCAGAGGAACTCCATAAGAAAGTTTCGGTCCTCACCAACTATCAGCCCAACTTCGCAATAGGGATCTTCGTACCCACAGGTCATCATGGTGCCAACCGTGTCATTTACCACCGCCACCACATCCAGGTCGAATTCCTGCGGAGGGATGGGATCGCTCGGGTTACTGCTGCAGGACACGGCTTGCTACGCTGAGCACGGGAGTCCTCCCGGCACCCGCAGCGGGCACGCGGGCCTCAAGACACCGCCAGCAGGACACAACCGCAGCGGC